CTCTCAGGTCCTCACTCAAACCTCACGGTTTTGGCTTACACTACTATTGTCTGTAGTTGAAGAAATAATGGTTTAAAGCCTCCTACTCTTGATAATAATCTTCCTAGACCCGATTTATTCCCTGTGGAGGAAAACAGTTAACAAGGTGTCCCCTGTTTTCAACGAGGGCAGAAAGCAAAGTAGTCCTGCCCTAATTACATTCATGGAACAACCTTTCCTACAGTAATACAGAATAGAACTGGGCATTAGTTTTGCTCCCCCCCCCCCCCCACCCCTGCCTTCCACCTATCCTTAGAAGAAACCACAAAATTCAAGGTCAGTTCAGTAGCCATTGTGGGTATGCATGTAAGAGAAGGGAAAAAAATGTACTCTCTGGAAACTAAAATCTCACTTCTGTTTCTTAACCAAAAATAACCACCCAAACGTTCTCATTAATCACACCTTACGCTGGAATCGAGAATGTGCCCTTTCTTAGTCTGGGTTAATTCAGAATAGAAAGTCCAATTAAATTGCCTTGAGTGAAAATGATCCCATAAAAAAGAAAAAAAATCACCACTTTCCTTTCAATACCACCTGAGATGAGAGGTCAGACTCCCAAGGGAATCCACTTGCCAGATAAACACACTAAATTGGAAGGTGAAGGCACATTTCAGCCTCGTGGTGGAACCTACCTGGCACCTGTGAAATTAGCACATTCTGTGTCAGGGTTTCCAAATGAAATTCTGAAATACACGTTGTAGCAATGAGAACGTGGGGGAGATTACAGTGGTCTTTCCCTACGCGATGGCTTTATGGCCTTATGAACTAGACACGGGAGGGGAAGCAAGCTTCATAGCTAGGTTAGATATTTTCTGTTTCAGCAGGAAAGAATCCAATTGCCAGAATTAAAGCTCGGGGAAAGATCAAGAGGATTAATATGTACACAATTTTTATTAGGGCTTTAACATACATGGACTGAAACAAAAGTCGAACACAATCAAAAGCACCTCATAGCAAGGCTTATTCTCCTACATTCTATTCAGAGGATGAGGCCCAGTTGGTAGATCATTCGTTACTCCGCTGCCACCAAGCAGGCTCTCACCCAAGGCACCATGTCACAATGGGGTGCCACAAATGGTTATGAGAGGGGTTCAAGGTTCTTGTAACTAATGAAGACTGAAGCTTCACATGGGACTTACATTAAAAATAAATGTAGTAGCTTGAAAGCAAACTTTGTTAACAGTGTCACTCTTACCTGTCTGTATTTCTAGGTTTTGTTGGGTGGGACAGAAGGCTGGAGTTACAGGTAGAGAGTTACCTGAGAATTACCTATCATTTTGGTTTTACATATGGGAGAAGGCCTCCCAAAATAAGAATGCAGAAAAAATGTGAGTCACGAACCCAGGAGTAGAGGATCAAACTGTCAATCCTTGGCAACTCCCTTATTACAGAATAATCCTAGAGGGAAGTGGGGGGAAGGAGATATTTTTTTTTAATATTTATTTGAGAGAGCGCACAAGCAAGAAAGGGGAAGAGAGAGAAGGAGAGAGAGAATTTCAAGCAGGCCATGCGCTGTCAGCACAGAGCCCGATGTGGGGCTTGAACCCACAAACCGTGAAATCATGGCCGGAGCCGAAATCAAGAGCCAGACACTCAACTGACTGAGCCACCCAGGTGCCCTGAGGAGGAATTATTGTTTCATCCTTTCAGATGGCTGTTTGCTCACCCCTACAAGATGAGTTCCTAGAAGGAAGCAAGACTTTTGCAGGTATCTGTGACCCCATTCCATTCCACTGCCCACCCCTCTCCAAGAGCTCAGGTAAATAAAACTGATTGATCCTGGAGCAAAGATTAGTCTCCTTGTTGGGTAGCAACAGCCAGGCTTCTTCTCCATGTAACTTTTGACAACGGGTTAAGGTCCTTTTGTCTTCATCAAAAAATTCTAAACTCACTTTAGGAAAAATCTGGCATGTCTGAGAAACCACACTCAAAGGCCAGCTAGGAATCTCACCTTGCCCTGAGCCAGGATCCAGGAGTCAAAGGAAACTCACAATCAAAACCAAGAAGGCCCATCTGCGGCTCAGGAGCTGACTACTCCTGACGAATTATTCCCATCAGGAGACACCCATCCCTGCTCCGTCCTTCAATACTGCCCAACGGCACTGAGATGAAGTATGAACCACTGTTAACAAATATACCCAAGAAATAAATTCTTAACACCCAAGGGCAGGAGACAAAAGGGCCTCAGGCAGCCAAAAGAGAAAAAAAGAAGCCAACAGTAAAGAACTTCTGACAGGTTCTGAAATGCTTATAAGTTAATGAATAAACCCCACAGGTCGTTAAGAATTTTCTCCTCCCCATCATTCCCATTTGGGAGCCACTCTAGAATAAGGAAGATTACCAGGCATTGTGAAGAGACCGGGGGATTTCTGGTGCCAGCACGTGCTGTCCAGAGTGTGAAGTTGTGTTGGCCAACGGAGTGGCCGTAAATTGCTAAGGCTTCTATGGAACCTGGCCAGGAAACAGGAATACTATCTTGACACAACAGTATATGCCATGAAGGCTGATATCCCGTGGAAACTATGCCACCAGACTGAGTATCTGGGAAGGCAGTGTGCAGTCTACTGCTACACAAAGCTTGGACAGGCCCTCCTTGCTGCCCACAGCAACTCCAAAAATGTCACATGTGAGACTATTGACTTTTTAAAGTGATGAATTGATTTGAAAACTGACAACTCCATTCAGCTCAGAAACACTAAAGTTTTCGGCAAAAAAGCATCTGGATGAGCATTCAGTTTGAGTCCACTTTCAACAATTAAAAAAAGACAGGGTAAAAGGGGGTTATCCAGTGCCCTTATAGGCTTTCGGGGGCCAGATCTAACAGATTCGCAAGGTCGGGTTGGTAGGGGGTCTTCAAGGTGGACAGACATGGAGAGAAAGGACCCTTCTAGGCCTCTATTTGCTGTTCTAGTGAAAGGCAGTTGAGCACTAAAGCTTCTATATACAGTATCAAAAGGTCCCACCTAAGAGGTTCTGAAAGAAGAAAGAAAGCTGAATATCGGGGGTGAAATGTGTTCTCCCAACATGCCCTCTCACTAAGACACAGCAGCAAGAATTCGCCTGAACTCAGGCCTCAACGCTTATCCTTATTTATACAGGAGCCTAAAGTCTCACTTTTAAACACTAAATCTCACTGGAAGTCCATAGATAAGATAAAACAAGGATATAAGAGCTCTGCTTAAGAACTTTCTAGGTATCCCAAGATCGTAATTAGAAACTGTGTTATCAAAAAAATAAGTAATCATTTAATTTCTGAGCACCAAATCATAATGCCTTGGGTACTGAAAGCAGTTGGAGAAAGGAGAATTAGACTTAAAAGTGTTTTCCAAATAACAAAAGGACCAAATACCCCCAGAAGTGTTGAGACATATTTTAATTTTTTTTTTTTTTTTTTTTTTTGTCCATAGGGAAGTGTCTTAGATACATTCCATACTACTCAGGGTTATGAAACAGATTTTATGTAACAAAATGCTATCCTTCCTGACAGCAAGATAAATATTATGAGCACTGCAATAACTATGCAAATTACTTACATCTCTGAAACTGCATATGCAAAATTTTTGTGCACGTGAGTATATGTGTTTTATTGGGGAAAGGGCCCTATCTAAATTCTCACAGGGACATGAGAAAGGGTCAGAAACTGACCGAACTCAAGAAGAGAGGTAGCCTCTGCCCCTGGCTTGCCCCAGGCGCCTCTTCCTTGCTTCTCACTGCCTTTTCTGTCTTCAGCTGTCACCTCTCACCCATGCCACCCTTACACCATTTGGCAAGTTTCTCTCTCTTCTCTAGCTTTTCTTCCTCTTTTCTTCTCTCACATGTCTGCCACTGCTCCTTCACCTCTGGTGTGAGGACAGGTATTCCTTTAAAACTATGGTGCGAACTTCTCGGGATCAGTAGACCACCAGTCCTGTGTCTTCTAAATGTACTCTGGTTTCATTTTTGCTCAGTACCTAGGATCTGTTACCTTTGGGTTTGTGGGCATTCTGGAAGGCTGAAAATGCTAGATGTCTGACTGCTGGGGTCATTACTGGAGCAAGCTTCCTATGGATTTTAATGAGCTCAACACGGGTGTTAGCAACAAATGCCCACGTGCACACACACACACGTGCACGCACACCTCCAGGAAACCACCATCTACGGGCTATTTAAGAAGGTTGAGACACTTTGTCTCTTTCCCAGCTTATGTTAATATCTGAAATATTTGCATCCCCAGTCTGAGCTGGGATTTGCAAGAAATATTTAGAGCTTGCTCAGCATGGCGTTTTCAATCATGTTCTATAAATGGCATGCTGGTAAATGAGCCGTAAGGAAAGAATAAAGAAAATGTTACTGCTTCTCCTTCAGTGGTAGAGTACGGCGATGAGTACAAGGGGAAGAAGGGAGATGAGGGAAGTGGGCACATCTGACTGCTGGAAGGCCAGGCGGGCCTGGGTGCCAGGAAGGAGAACCATGACAGCTGCTGAGACCACAAGAACCGAGTTTGAAAGCTGCTTTATCCTGCCATGATAGATAAGGCGCGGCTCTCAAAATGTCTAAGCGCACTGCTTTTGTTTCCTACCTGCCATAGATGCTGTTTTATAGCTTGCTGGGGGGTGGCGGGGGGGGGGCAGCTTTTTACATAACTAAAAATGACAGTGCCACGAAGAGAGACATATTCCTAAGAAATGCTCAAAGTGGCAGACCCCAGAAAATAGGAAAATAACTGAGTTTTTAAATATATAAACACAAAGCTTGCACAGAAATGTCAGCTCTCCAGAAGTTGAAACAGAGGTGAAAACATTCAAACAAAAGAAAAATTAGCCATCTATATCCAAAAGGCCAAGTAATAAGATTAGCAAGTAGCTGGTAATTGAGAAGAGCCATAAATCCCTCAGTTCTCCTGTTTCCACACCACCGTGGCAGGGGTATCCGTCCGTCACTGCACCTCTGGTCCCGATGGATGTGCCCGTCCAATTCCTTACCTCGTGGCGGTCACTGGCTGGGGTGTGTGAAGGCCGTGCTTCTTCATCTAGTGGCTCAATCTCTGCAAACTCTTCCACGGATTCTTGAAACTCAGGCAAGGACCTTCGTCCGTAACGCTTCCCACCTTTAACATATTTGGGCTGAGCTTCTAGTGAACAGTCTAGGCAGGGAGACAAGAGTTGAGGCCACATTACATGACAGTCTCAGCCCTTAGCTGACACTCACAGCTGTCAGACACAGCCTCTTATACTAGCCCCCAAAATAAACCACCACTGTTTGCCAGTTGTGCGGGGATGTGGGCGTGTATGAGGCGCCAGGTCAGACGCAGAGCACAGCTTCCAATTCTGAATGACTGACAGCAGCCGGAGCGCATCTCTGCATACAACGGGAGAGATGCAATGCCAGCAGAAGCGTCTGACTTTAGAAGTACAGAATTAAGATGAGGATAAAGCAAGGAGTCATATTTGTTCTTCTGTTTATTAAGCTGGTGTCTTGCAGGGAGGGGAAAAGGGAGAGGGGGAGATCGTACTGACAAAGAGACGCGCTAGAGGAAGTCTTGGAAAATAATGATAAAGCGAACACCATATCAGCACTGTTAGTATTCACGCACCCCTCCTGTACCTCAGTGACTCCTTTGTTAACCATTCCACCTTCTGATCCATCAGACAAGCGGGATGACAGAACAAAGAAACTGACACAGTAGATCCTAATAAATGAATGACAGCTCATCGCGTACATGAAACCTGGCATCAAGATCGCATTATAAAATTAAAAGCTGTAGAATAAAATAGTAAAGGCAGAACTGTATACTGAAAAATGGTACATTTTGTTTTTATTCTCTTCATGAGTTTGGTGTTGTACAAAACAAAATGGAATGTGCCTCACAGGAGGGTTATTTCTTGACCTTAAAGAAGGACCTCAGCATTTTGATGTAACATGTCTCAGGTTCAATGTTTCACCATGTTCACGACCACCAATGCCGCCACCGCCATCACTACCACCGCCACCGCCATCGCCGCCACCGCCATCCCCACCACCGCCACCACCGCCACCGCCATCGCTGCCATTGCCACCACCCCACACTAACCTTTCTCTACAACGGATGGCTTTAAAGCAATAGAATAAATACTTCACTCAATGCACGTGTCATCTTAGATACAGAGATTTTTTAGCACCTTGCACAGAATTAGGAGCATAAAATATTCTATTAAAATACAAAAGATCAGCAAGGCGTTGATTTCAGTTCTTATCTGCAAAGGCACGGTGTCTGAGAACATAACGTGTATTCTATTTGAACACGACAGTCTTAACAAGATGTGTCTCAACTCACACATGGAGATTTTCGGATGAGGTTATGTACACACATCATCAAAACCAGGGTGGTCAATTAGATAAGAACTGAAAGAACAAAACCCCTCCTTTACCACCACTGAAACCACATGAGGGGTTAAGCCATTACTTTGTAGCCTCCCTGGGAAGGTCGGCGATCCTGTGTGACTAACTCTGCCCTTCCCCGCACCCCCATGCCCTTCCTCTGATATACGCTCAGATTTCACGGATGTGGTCCGAAGCATTCTGAAAATGCTCAGCACAGCTCAGAGTGAAGTATTTATGCTTGCTCTATAATTTCTAGTGATATTTATATCCAGCTTTTAAAAAGTCCCAGCCAAGTCATTGTATTTGGTGGAGCGATTCTCTTACAGGAAGAGTTTAAGCATACACAATTTAGATTGAAAATCACATGCACATTTGAAGGTACCTTTCATCAGGAGAGAGTGTGTCAGCCTGTGAGTATTCAGGAGCGGCCCAGACACCCGAGCTACTTGTTGGCAGCTGACACCCACAGATGCTAGTCAGATAAAGAGGCAATGTAGAACCATCCTTAATTTATTACACATTCTTAAGTTTTACTGGCAGACAACAAGGTACACCGTTAGTGACGATGGGGGTGGGGTTGGAAAAGATTAAAAGAAAAACTGACAACGTCAGAAAACTGAACACGACGTGTTCCCAGTGTGAGAACAGTCGTGGTCTGGGGATGGAAATGGCAAAGGAGCTCTCTCACTGCGCGCTGCACTTTTACGGAGGAAAAGAGTAAAGGGACAAAGCAGCCATCTTAAAAAACCTACTGTAATTGACTCCAAAACCTGCCTGTGGATGAGATGGTCTCCTAGTTATGTACCACTAAATATCCCATGCCCTGCAGGGATATGAATAAGGAAGAGAACTAATGGATTGTGGGCCATTAGATACCCTGGGAGATTTGGGTTTATTTTACTTATTTTTGCATTGCCAAGAGTTTTTAAAGTTTTCTATTTATATTTTATTATTATAATTGTGAACAAGCTTTTAGTATCTTTAGCAGAATGTAAATATATCACAAAGTCAATTTCTAGCGAAATCTAGTCAAGTATACACTCTTCTTCGGAATAAAGAGGTTAGCACAAAGGAAAAATGGAGTGTTAATGTTACCTCACACTGCATTTCCCAAACCTTCTATGTGACCAATAAAGAATTAGACTAACTGAACCAATTACAGTGACTTCTTTGACTTACACACTCACATATTTCTCTCCTTAGAGCATGAGCATCATTGTACTTACATGATAAGAAGTGAAAAAGACAGCAAAAGTAAGGAGGTCCAGAGAGAACATTCATGGTCAACAGTCATTACTGTGTTAAACATTTGAAAACTATGATTTTCCTTATCAACTCAACCAGGCCTTTAAAAGGCCACAGCAACAGTCCACCAAATGGATTTTAAGACACTCTTACACCCCATAATTAAAGAAGGTCCAACCCCATCCTTATGCCCAACAGAGACTTAGAAAACTGCAGCCCTGGGGCAAAGTTGATGCATTTTACGAACACATCCAGATGTAACTTAACACATGTCAGGGTTTCACTGTAGAACAATTTTAGTTATGCCAGATAATATGGGGCGTCTGGGTGTCTCAGTCAGTTAAGCTCCCGACTCTTGGTTTCGGCTCAGGTCATGATCTCAGGGTTCCTGAGATGGAGCCCCCCAATCATGCTCTGCCCCGGCAGGACGGTGCCTGCTTGGGGTTCCCTCCACCCCCCTCTCTCTCTGCCCTCCCCCTCGTGCATATTCTCTCTCTCAAAATAAATAAATAAACTTAAAAACAGAAATGAAATTGCTTACATCATATAGCTTTCTTTAACATAAGTGTAAGTGACTGCTCCAATCACGTGCTCCAAGGAGGGCTAGGAAATGCCAGTGATACAAACTATAAAGGACTGCCAAACTTGCAGTGTTTTCTTTCTTTGAACATTTATTTATGATTTTACCCAGATGCCAAGCTTCAGAGTCATTTTTGCTTCTTTCATTTTTCTATTTCTCCTATTTGACAAAAATAAAAATAGGCTTTCAAGGAAAGAGGACAAGCTGAGCCTGCCTAGAGGTGCCTTGGACCCCATCCTCAGAGAATTTATTATGAAACTCACCAGTCATAGTAAAGTGGCTTTGAAGCAGTCCTACCTGACTTGGTTTAGATGATTCAGGTTTTATTCCATAAACCAAACACATGGTTATGAGTAGGGGACAACAGAGAAATCTTGATTCAATCCCCTAAACACTGCTAGAGGAATATGGAAGCAACTGATAGTCTCTACAGAGCAGATGGGGTGGGAAGGGGAATCTCAATGGGAGTTCAAAAGACGAAAGAAATACCGTTCCTTCCAGTCTTAGAAATCAAACAACTGGATGGTCAGACATCACATTCTTTACTCCAGATCTCATCTGTCCCAAGAAGAGACACTCCAGACCTGTGATAATGTCCACCTTCCAGAACCAGGGTGAATCACTGTACACATGTATGACTTGTGACCAGAAGGGCTTGCACTTATAATGAAAGGAAAATTGAAATACAGTGTCAGTGGGAAGGACCACTCAGGGGATAAGCTGGCTGGAGGCAGGGTAAACCTCTGACACTCACCCATTCTCCCCTCTCTCCACTCCCTCTCTGCCTCAACTCCAGCTGAGGAGTACAGAGCACCCTTTCCTGTGGTCCTCAGACTGACTGCAGCCTTCCTGATGTAGGTCTCCACTTGGAAGGCTCAGCTCTCCCCAGGAGCCAAAGGGCAAAACAATGAGGGCCCAAGAGGAAGAGGAAGGGGTGACAGGAAAGCCTAAACACCATGTATTCCATCAATGCTTTCTTTACAAAAACACAAGCTTGGGACCTGGGATGGAGCGCCTTCCTCAGCACTTACACGGAGAAGTTACAGGAGAGTTGCAAAGACACACTCCAATATCAGGTAGATTCTTATAGCTTCTAATTATTGAACACCTGCCATGGGCAAAGTATCATGTTGTACCTGTTGAGGGATAAGATGGATATTTGATCGCTTTTTGATTTAAACCTCCCTGTTCCCAAAACTGACCGAGGATACTTACAGGATGAAGAAGAGAGCTCTGCCTTTTTGGTGCTGATATTCTTATTTTAAAATTGCTTGAAAACACCCTTGCTTTCTACTACTTCCCCTCCTGCCCCATTCTGTTAGGCTGGACAATCGTTCCCACAGACACCGGCACCTTCCAAAGTCAAAGGCCCTCAGCACAGAGTAACGCCAGTCTGAGGCCCTCCATATTACAGTTCTGCTGAGCTCACAGATTCCTGAAACTCATTTAAAAATAAGGAGTCAAAAATGAAGCATGTGCAAATCTCAGGACAAGCACTCCCAAGAAGCTTCCCTGGGAAAGGGCGGTCAGGCAGCTCCCCACTTCCTTGCTCCTGTGAACACCATTATATGCAGACTGCACAGAGTATGACCCCATACTTGATACTAAGTAAGAGAAAAGGGCAGAGAGAGAATTAAAGGGGAGACCAAGACCAAGAGAAGGAGAGGGGGAGAGAAAAAGGGAGAGGTAGAGGGAGGGACAGAAGTATGTGCAGATGGGGAAAGGGAGAGGGGGTGGGACAAGATGGGCAGGGATCTAGGGGCCTATGGAGAGACAGAGAGGGGCAGCAGTAGGAACAGATGGGGGAGGGAACTGAGACGTAGGAGCAAAGTATAGTGGGGGTCCAAGGAGGAGGACAGAGGTGAGCTGGAGTGGTGGAAAGAAGACAGGGGTGAAACGGGGGATATCCCAAGGAGGGAAGGGGAGAAGAGAATCCAAGAGAGAATGAACAACATAAAGACATCAGGAAAGGGGCGCCTGGGTGGCGCAGTCGGTTAAGCGTCCGACTTCAGCCAGGTCATGATCTCGCGGTCCGTGAGTTCGAGCCCCGCATCAGGCTCTGGGCTGATGGCTCAGAGCCTGGAGCCTGTTTCCGATTCTGTGTCTCCCTCTCTCTCTGCCCCTCCCCCGTTCATGCTCTGTCTCTTTCTATCCCAAAAATAAATAAACGTTGAAAAAAAAATTTAAAAAAAAAAAAAAAAAAGACATCAGGAAAGCCCTTGAACATTATCTGCCATTCCTCCCGCCTCCCAAGGTGCTCCCTGCCTCTGTGGGAGGTCATCAGCAAGCAGGGTCACCATCCCACACTTCTGTGCATACACAGCCCTTTCTGGGGCAGCTGCTCACTGGCCACTCGCACGATGCTCCCAGCTACCCCTCCCTCTGCAGTCCCCACACAAGATGCATACATTCATCTAGGCGTTCAGTGAATGCAGTGACCGAATTTTAGGAGCAGTCTCCAGTCAATTCTTACCAATCTGAGTGGAAGTTTCTTGCTGGAACACAGGCACTTCAGGACACAAAGCTAATGGAATGGCTCTGATTAACCTTGCCTGGGAGGAAAGCTCTGAGGCTAAGGTCTGCACCCCACAAGGGTGCCCACGAATGGTGGATGGGTGTGGCTGGCAACCCCCGGGACTGAGTGGTCTGACTAGATGGTCTGTTCAGCCCTAAAGCAGTTCAAGATCAACAGGAAAAACTCTTTGAGTTGATAATGATGACAGGATTGTTTCCTTAGGCTTCTCCTAGAGATGTCAGCCTGCTGATCCCCATTGGAAGGTCATGCATGCATCTTGAGCCATTTTGGGGAAGAAGGCAGAGATTCACATTTCACTTAAGTGAATCCTCCCCTTTGTTCCAGGTTCAACTCAAAACTTATCTCTATCAAGTAACCGCTTGGCACAACCTTCATGGAACCTTTGCTTCTACGAATTCAGCACAACTCGTATTGTCGATAGCTCCTGACTTAATGGTCATGGTCACATTTTTCTAAAAGCATTTTACATGTTAGAATCACCTACCCAGCTGGACTGTAATGCTTCCCAGGGCATTCATGGAAAGAACCTGGGCTTTGATTCAAACAGACTTGGACTCAAACCCTCAGTTGTTAAAAAGATGAGGAGTACTTAATGTCATGAAGGCTTAGTCTACTTATCTGGAGGAAGAGAAAACAGGGGCTAGGTGGGACAAGGTCACTCTTCTGTCAGGTGGCTCCTGCCCTGGACGAAGACACACCCCAGTGAGTCCCCCCACCCAGACATCTGTGAGCCAGCAGTGGCTGGGGGGGCCGGTGGGCAGGACCAGTGTAGCCCCCAAACCCACAGCAAACTTTTCCGACCTCATTTTTTTTGTATTGGGCAAGATTAGTGGCACAAGCATAATGATGTTATCGAATCCGTCATCTCAGAAAGTGGAACCACCTCCATTTCATTCTTGCTCTAACTTTCTCTTCCTTGTCACCTCCTTCCCCTTTATCAATGGGGCTGATTGAGATGAGAGGGACACACCAATTTGCTATACTTCGTATCATTTTCATGTCCCTGCTTTGGAAATCTTCTCGGACTCTGGAGTGGAAATAAACTTAAAACATTGGTACAACTCCTTAGTAAACTGTTTTGTTCACATGAGTATTTTGGTTTTTGCACAAC